TAGTGAAAAACTCCCCTGGGAGGCGAAGCGTTGTTACGTACACCAGTTCAGCGGAGCAGCATCTAATATCTGCTTTCAGAGCCGTCCTAACGCCCAACAGAACAAACGGCAGTGCCTCTACCCAACTGTGACTCGCAGTAGCCGTCAGGCTCGTCTTCAGATGGCGATGGAACCTTTCCACTATAACGTTGCTAATCGGATGGTAGGCAGTTGTTCTGATGCGGTGAGTACCCAAGAGCCGGGTGACCCTTGCGAACAGGGCGGACTCAAACTGCGTTCCGCGATCCGTAGTCACGGTTGCCGGCACTCCGAAGCGGGCCACCCAGTGGAAGATAAATGCGCGGGCGACGGTATCAGCAGTCATGTCTGGAATGGGCACGGCCTCCGGCAATCGCGTGAAGCGATCGATGCAGGTTAGCAAGTAGCTTTGCCCCTGGCACAACGGCAGTGGTCCCGCAATGTCAACATGCACATGGGCAAACCGACAGTCCGGCAGAGGGAAAGATCCCAAGGGGGTCACAGTATGTCGCTGAACTTTGCAGCGCTGGCATGCGATGCACTTTCGTGTCCAGTATCGGACGTCCCGGTTTATTCCTGGCCACACGAACCTCGCTGTGCATAGCCGTTGCATGGCTCGAATTCCGGGATGCGCCAAGCTGTGCAGCAAGTCAAAAATGCTGCGACGGAGGTTCGAGAGGACGAACGGTCGGGCCTGGCCTGTAGACATGTCGCAGCATACGGATCCTGTGGGTTCTGCCAACGATTGCAGCTTCAAGGCGCTGGTTGAAGACGTCAGTAGACGCTTCAATTCTCCATCACTGCGTTAAGCCGTCGTAAGTGTGGTGAAGTCTACGCCACTCGGCAGGCTGATGGCATTCACTGGACCGCGCGAAAGAGCGTCGGCAGCAGCATTATCCGTGCCACTAACATGGCGTATATCTGTCGTGAATTCTGTGATGTACGACATTTGGCGAAGCTCCCGTGCCACGTGAGCACCGGAATCGGAGTTCACGCGCGTTGCGTAGGTGAGTGGCTTGTGATCCGTGAGCACAAAAAATTCTTGTCCTTCCACATAATGTCGGAAATGCCGGATAGCCGCGTATATGGCCAGGAGTTCCCTACCGAAGGTGCTGTACCTTCGTTCGGTCGGGCTCAGTTTTCTTGAGAAGAAGGAAATCGGTCGCCACACTCCGCTCACCCTCTGCTGCAACACGGCTCCAATCGCTGCATCGGAGGCGTCCACCATGACGCACTGAGGAACACCCAGCTGCGGGTACGTGAGCATGGTGGCATTTGCGAGGGCTTCCTTTATCATCCGGAATGCTTGTGTGGATTGGTCGTTCCACTGAATGGCAGTTGCCTTAGATCCAGATGCCGCAAGTAGGCTGTGGAGAGGGTGAAGGATGTTGGCGCATTTCGGGATAAACCTACGGTAGAAATTCACGAGTCCCCGGAACTCTCGAAGCTGGCGGAGGTTTTTCGGCTGTGGAAACTGCCATACTGCTTCCACCTTGTCCTTCTGGGGCTGTACTCCGGCACTTGAAATGCTGTGGCCCAAAAATGATAGTGTCGGTACCCCAAACACGCGCTTTGCCGTATTGATAACGATGCCGTTCTCTGTCAGTCGCTGAAGTACGTAGCGCAGATGCCGCTCGTGCTCTTCAGGAGTGCTGCTAGCAATCAGAAGATCATCGAGGTATACCTTGCAAAAGTCGAGGCCACGGACAACGCCATCTATAAACCGTTGAAAAGTTTGGCTGGCGTTGCGTAAGCCGAAAGGCATGCGTAGGAACTCGAACCTTCCGAATGGCGTTGTTATTGCGGTATTGGGGATATCCTCCGGTGCTACGGGTATCTGATGATATGCTCGCACTAGATCTATTTTAGAGAAAATGGTAGCACCATGCAGGAAGGAGGTCATGTCATGAATGTGCGGGACTGGGTAACGGTCTGGCACGGTTACCCGGTTCAGCGCTTGATAGTTCCCGCAAGGGCGCCAATCACCGTCTGTTGATTTTGGGACCATGTGAAAAGGTGACGCATATGGGCTGGATGAAGGACGTACTATCCCGAGTTCCATCATGTGGGCAAACACCTGTCGAGCCAACCGCAGCTTCTCGGGTGACAGGCGCCGCGGTCGCGCACAGACCGGTGAGCCTGTGGTTTCGATGTGATGCAGGACGCCGTGCTTTACTTCTGGAAATGCCTGTGGCTGTCGTGTCAGCTCTGGGAACTCTTGTAGTATTGCAGTGAAGTACGCTTCTCCCGCCGGACTAAGCAAGGCCGGGCTGATAGGGGGGTGCCAACACGGCGTGCCTTGTACCACTTCCCGAGAAACGGGATCTTGAAACCGTTTATTGCGGACGTCGACCAACAGACCGAAGAACTGGAGAAAGTCTGCGCCTAGTAAGGCGAATTTGACATCAGCAGCTATGAACACCCAGCTAAACGTTCTGCCGAAACCGAAGTTCAGCGACAGCGAACGATGGCCATATGTTGTTATCACCGTGTTATTCACAGTTTGCAAGGGCGATGTACTAGATTTCTGTCTTTCAGCTTGTGACGCCGGTATAACGCTCACCTCGGCGCCTGTGTCCACTAAGAAACGTACTCCTTTGTTGCAGTCGGTAATAAAAAATACTGAGGGACGACTTGGAGGCAACGTAGTAGCACTGGCCGCCCTCAGTGCCTGCCGCGGCTGTTTCCCGAGTGCGCGCACGGTGGGACACATTTACGCGCACTACTTCCGAACCTCCGATGATACCAACAGATATGCTCGTGCTGCTCTTGTGATAGCGGCGTGTTAGGCTCAGTTATCGTTTGCACCCTCCTGCTAGCGTGCAAAGCTGATACTGTTTCGGCAAGTCGAGCAATCTCCTCACGCATCTCTTGAAGTTCGTTTAGAGGCTGTTGCGCTTGCACGGCAGCCATGGGTGTGGGCGGTGTCATTGCTACCAGTTTGTCAGCAAGTTCGGCGGCTGTGGTTAAATCCTTGTGCTCTGAGGCCGCGATGACCATGCGGACGCCTGCAGGTAACTTTTGCAAAAAAAGTTCTCGGAGCAATACTCCATCTATCGTGTTTGATGTTCCGCCAAGCAACAGTTGCATGTGCCGCAAAAGCTGACTAGGAGTACGGTCACCGAGTTCCGTGCCGCGAAGCAATTGCTGCAGTCGTTCGGAGGACGTAACTCGGCGAATAAGGGTTTCTTTTAGCGTTGCATATGCGTTTTCGACAGGTGGTGCGAGCAACAGATTCCTGATTTCACTGGCTATGGCGGGCGGCAGACTGCTGACTACGTAGTGGTATTTCGTAAGGTCTGCGGTGATTCGTCTGGCTGCGAACTGAGATTCCACTTGTATGAACCAAAGTGCGGGGTCCGCAATCCAAAAAGGGGGCAGCTTATCGTCGACTGAGGAGACTGTCGGAGGGGCGTCGGTCGTGGACGTTGAATCCATATTGCGGCTGGTTCGACACTCCGGTCGCTGTGTCTGTATTCCGAGTCCGGGTCACCAATGTTGAGACGCATCGCTCGGCAGAGCTGCGCAAGTGAACAACTTGCGTTCCAAACAACAACTGACTTTTATTATCACCCTTCCTCTCGAAGATAACTTTCTCGTGCGGGCGCATGCGCTCTCTGCACCGCACACAGAAGCACCGCTTTGCGTCGCCACAGATCTAATATGTTGCCTCCGTGGAAGCAGTTGGCCTCTCGACGATGTAACTAATAATATCTGAGGTTCACGTCCCAAAACCACGGTATGATTATGAGAGACGCCCTAGAAGAAGGCTCCGAAAGTTTGGACCATGTGGTGTTCTTTAACGCGCTTTGACATTGTGCAGTTACATAGGCCTCTACCATTCCACCTTCATCAAAATGCGATTGCCGTGGCTGGTATAGACACTGCGACGTTCAGGTGAGCAGCCAAGCACTTTTAGCCACTGATCTGGACGCGACTATGTCACAGCTGTATGTTTATGTGTTTCACTTCTGAATAATAATTTTTGTTTAAAGTGAGCCCTTGATCTCGCCATTTCTTCCTGTGCGTCCATATTGTTTTGTGTGTGTGTGTGTGTGCTGCTTGCTACCAGAAAATTTGAATGTTGCTTCAGCGTTCTTTGTTTTCTTTCTATTTTTTATGTATGGCCATATCGCCAGAACCGCCCATGCTAGACGGCCAAGGGCCGAATTGCTGCTTTGCTTATTCAAACTAAGTGCCAAAACGGTGAAAGCGGGCAATGTCGAGAAATCTGACAGCGTCCAGAAGAGGCTGTTAAACACGTCCAACTCGATTCAGCTCTAAGGGTCTATCGGCGGTCGCTATCACCACGCTTGCTAAAATCACCCGCTTGATCGGTTTCATCACCTCCGTTTACGCCACAAAAACCGACGGATTGTGTATTTTGACGACCAAGCGAAGGCGCGTCAGCCGGCACTTGATGCGAGTCACGTCGTAATTTTCACAATATCCGCTGCCGCTTCTTCGGGCCTCGTTGTTGCCGTGTGTCGAAGATGTAGCGAATGAGCTTTATAACTATAAACTAAGAACTACACATCTCAGCCGTCTTATGTTTAATTCGTCGATGGCGTCATACCCACTTCTTCGTCGTCATTACAACACAAGCCGGCGCTTACTTTTGTTATTTCATCGGTATTCGCCTCTCGGCACAAATCCATTTTACGTTCAAGACGTGTGCCGTAAGACTGCTTAAACAATTTATAAAGAAAGGAGAATGATAGCCCAAGATAATCTAAACATCAAGGACGTGTCGTTAACCGCGTTCTTCGCACGCTGGTCACGCGAAAACCGGTTACCTGTCACCAGAGGAAAATCCTGCGCAACAGACATATTCAACGTGCATAGCCTGGTCAGGTGAGTGAGCATTCGAACGCTTGGGCTGCGAGCTTATCTTCTGCGCAGCGAACGTGCGTGGATCGAAAAATGCAAAAATAAAACCTGTCAGGGGTGTCTCAAAGAGCTTGTGAACATGGTATGTGTATTAGTCCGCACTCTGTTAGCGAGACGGTTTGGTTTCCCTTCCACCTAAACAGTGATGAGCACGTCCGAGCGTCAACAAGGCCACCCACGAAACAAGAGATAAGTGCATGCCAGCAGTCATACGCCCCGAAGCCCTCGGATGTCGCGAACTCGGGACTAAATTCTGACGCGTGAATAACGCGTGAAGTGATTTGCCTGTGCCTTACGCAAGTGTCGGGCGGAGCGGGGGGAGTTCGAGGAGGGGTCACGTGGTTAGACTTGATGCCGCCTGTGAGCGCGTAGTGGAAGGCTCCGCCTGAGAAAACAAAGCGCCCGCGTAGAGACATCGAAAAACTGAGCGGGGGTGCCATTTTTACCGGGCTCAAAACTTTTGCGCTGCTCGGCCAGTGTGAATTCCGTCACGGTCGTCATGCACCCGGTTATCCTGGCTGTTCTCACCGGTGAGTAAGGTATCGGCTTGAATTTCGTGTGTCCTGAAATGCGTGGTCCTTGTATTTTTGATAGGCTTCGGTATTGGGCAAGGTTTGTTGTTCGCTTAGCTTCTCCTCAGCGTTCCTCTCCAAAACAGTGTCCGAATACTGATAAGTTGAGGACAGTGACTTCATTTTACTGAACGTGGATCTTTGAGTCAATGAATACCCAAAGGCAAGTCACGTTGCATTTTATGTTTACAAACAGAACAGCGCGAGAAAGTAGTTCCTATTTCTTGTTTCAGACATGTTAGATTGCGCGTTTTTATTGCTGTTGCTTTATTTTCAGATAAAACACATTGTTTTGCCTTGTTCCGAAGCGCTACATATTCTTCTTTTGATTGCATTGAAGCTTTGGGTAACTTGCAATAGCTACCCTAACACTCACTGTCAATAGCGGTGGATTCCGTCCTCTGTGGTATGGTCGTATATACGAAACTTCTGTCATGGATGACCCGAATCCCTTAAAATCGCATGTGGTGCTAACGAATCTCCACGTTCAAATGATAGGCTATAAACAAAACTACGTGATTTACGTCGTGCGAACATTTAGCAGTTACATAAAGCGGCACTTAACACGAGCTGCTATTGTATAGGGGAAAGTATGTATTTTGCAATATGTTACGTTTGCAAAATGTTATGTGCTTTTTGTTTTGTTTTTTATTTTACCTGCATGTCTGTCGCAGGGGCGCGTGTTTTGAAGAGTACGTATACACCCAAAATTACATAACTTGCTCGAACTATAGCAGTTCTGTAGGAAATGAGGCAGATCAAGTTATTACCAAACAAGATACTCGGAATATGTTTCCCGAAGAAATTCAACCTTGCCCTTAGATCACATTTCAGCCAACATATCTGACAGCAGAAATTATAAGCAAGCCAGCTGGGTACGGGAGTAATTGCCGAAGTACTGATTGAGTGCACAGTGTGAAGGAGTATCGTATGACGCACTATAGCATTTTTAACGCTACAGTGTAAATAACAGCCTTGCTGATGAAAAAAGTCGCAGCTTTGCCGCTAAGGCGAAGCCATGAATGTGATAGCAACAAATTGTAAGTTCACGTACAGAATGGCGAGCAGATCGAAACGTGCCCCGCGTTTTTCACGCACAAATGACGCATGAAACGTACTCACAGGTAGAGATGAACGCGAATACGCGTCTTAGTTGTTACTTCATAGTGTCTGAAAAGCGCGCCTTTTTCGCAAACGGAGGCTGTGCGACGATACCAGTGACTATTGTGCGCCCGGTAAATACAACAGAATTGTTCCGACGAAACCCAAAGGCTAGCCAAGACGTACGATTTCCCCCACTACAAGATAAGGGCACGCTATCAAGCGTACACTTCCTTATTTTCTACGCGGTCCAAAGTAGGCGTGAGAGATAAGAGCAGCCGCGCGCTCGCTGCGCCATTTTGCTGATAACGCAAAAAACACGATAGTCTACCCCCCCCCCCCCCCCCCCGAGATGCCTTCCAACAGCAGTAAGTGGTAGATATAAATGGCTTGCCTTTTAAACGTTCTAGGAAGGACCCTATGGTGGTTCAGTGGTTAACGCCTCGCATTGAAGACGCCGAGGTACCACGTGTGATTCCGCGTGCCGGATTCTTCTTTTCTGCATTTTTTTTTCATTTTTGCGTTTTCATATGTACAGATACGTATACATATACGGTGGATGACATCGACGCCGACAGAAAAATTTAGCCGTGGGAGTCCATATAATTGTTATCGCAATAAAAGAAAATTGGAAAGTCCAATCTGGTTTGATGAGAGCACAAAGTAGCCTCAAGAACAACATAAGTAATTCCTTACGACTATCGCTTGACCTTAAGCCGCTGCGCGCCGCAGTATTTCGTGCTCGACAGCTGACGCTAAGGTCGCGGTTGTGATTTCCGGCGGGGCGGCAGCATTTCTACGCATGCGAAATGCTAGAGGTCCGTGAACTTTGATTTAGGTATATCTATCACTTGGTTCTGCTGCATTTATTCGTAAAATTATTGATGCCTTCGTGTCACCCATGTCCGCCTCGGGGAAACAGTGGCTGCAGTGGTCGGCTGCTCGCCCAAAGGACGCGGCGGGCTCAATCCCAGCCACGGCAATCGCATATTGATGGAGGCGATGTGATATAGGCCTGTGTACTGCGCGACATCGGTGAACGTTAAAAAACAGCAGATGGTAAATGGTAAAAATTTCCGGAGACCTCAGCTACGGTGACTCATATTCATCTCGTGGTTTTGCGATGCGATCTTCCGGATATTATTTTTATTTGCATCACCTTTGTAATAAGTATACTATGTTCCATCGACGCTTGCTTGTGCATATGCGTATTTGAAGCTTGCGGGTATGAGTCAGTTGTACTGCCAATGCTGATTGTGGTCTTCTTTATTTTTCTTGCAGGCTTGTTGCACAGTGGCTTCGCAGCATGCAACAACGTGACCTGCACCACTGTGAGTCGATTGTTCATTGGAATTAAGTTATATATTCTTCATATATTCTAGGAATCGAAGAAACTTTCTCCACATTCTGGTGTCCTGTTGTTGTAGTTTTTACCACTTTCATTTCTATACAATTATAGCCGCTTAATATTGCTTAAAAGTGACGCGTAAATCAACAACTTTCATGTCAAACCTTTCAGAACAACGACTGCACGGATGGAAAAATGTGCGTCACTCATTACAACTACAGCTCAGGGTCATACTGCAAGACACAGGGTCATTGTAAGTATAACATATCGTACTGCCTGTATTCGAAATGATATCTTTTACAAAAATGACGTTCAAAGATGAGCTCCAAAATACGATTCAGCTAATGAGCTAGCGACTGTACTATTGGTGTCAAATGAAACGAGAACAGCGGAGCACGTGGATCTAGCATTAGCAAAAGTACAGTGAGTGCAGTCACACACATCCAGTTCAGCAGCTGTGGTGATTTACAAATGTGGTGATTCACCTCTAATTTGGCAGAGACGGGTTTTCTTTCAAGCGTTGGCTCTAACGCGATCACAATTAAAGGTATAGGCGTCATACTTACGGTCCTATAGTTCTAGTTACACGGGGTAGAGTACGGTCCTATAGTTCTAGTTACACGGGGTAGAGGTCAGAATAGATTCATGGGGATAGAGTTACACAAAGCCGTGAAACTCTATCCCGCATCGAACGCATCTTCGCAACTTTCTCCCTCTGCCTGCTCGCATAAGCACCCCATACGTTTTCCGCGTCTCTACATATCATTAGCCCGCCATTGGACCACGTACGGCCAGTGTTCTCATATGCAACCGAGCTAACAAGTGAATAACCATCTCAAAAGAAGCCGAAGAAAACGACTTCACTTTCGGCAAAAAGCGGGGTAGAAGCTGAAATTTCATGAGTTTTCAAATGATCTACGTATTTTCATGTTAAAAATAAATGTCGCTCAGATGCAAAAAAGAGTTGAAAAAGTCACTCTCATTATTTCATGGCACGAAATTGTGCTCAACTACGAACCAAATCGCATATTATTTTTAACATTTTCTCCAGTGCAGTAGTCCATTTTGTTGAATGCAGGTGAGCCAGTGCACGGTATACGTTCAACTTCTTGCTTTCCCCCACCACATGTCTGATTTCTACCCTCAGCTGCTTAAAGTCATCGACAAACACGCTATTGGCGAACGCGATGAACACTAACATAACTATACTTGCTGGAAAAGTGCCATAAGCTCGAAAAAGCGACAAACGATTGAAATTCTACAATTGACTCGGCAAAAAAAAAAAAGGCCAAATTCACTCTTTTGTAAGTGGTACTGGCAAATCTCCGTATAGCCCTCTTACTAGCCTGCAGTGGCCTGACATGATGTCCGCTATGTTCGGGCGAGATGGGAGGCCCCTTGTCAGGGCTGCCCTCGAGCCACCCTCGCTTACTTTTCACATGCGCAGGACTGATGGAGAGAACCTGGTAGCCTTTGGTTGTCGTAACGTCACTATATACTTCAGAATTGAAATAGCTGCGAAAGCTCATCCTAGTTCATACAAACTTCCCAATTCAATGAAATTATGCGAGCGTCCCAATTACATCCTTAAGTCGAGTTTGACATGTGTATCATCTTGAATGCTAAGAAATATTGTGGAGTATCATGCATAGCAAGATAAATTGCCCTTGGTTGGATGTGTGTGCGTGTACGTTTCGGTTATTTAGACCAACCGCCACTTTGACCACGATACCAGCGTCCAAAAATATTGTGTAACCTATTGTCCCATTTCAGTAAAGGTGGAAGTAGAGGTGTGACCTTGCACCTCCACTTTCGCGTATTCACGAGACATATACTAAGCTGTTAGCCTGTGATGAATTTTTGAACATCGGTGATTGTGACCTGTCGCCTTGGTCCAACGAAAGTTTGAATGTATTTTGAAAGATTTAATTCGTTGGGTAGTTGGGCACTCATTTTGAACGCCCAAAAGGGCAGAATCTGTAATCTACGACATTATTTATAAACATCCCTGAAATAGTTCAACTTAATTGATGCATTATGAAGACGAAACCTTTGTTCCATCGATAAAATAACAAACTTCTTGTATAATGCACTACGAAACAGACACGTTAATCAATGGCCACTAAAACTAGAACACAAATACTTCTCGATATGATGTTGTGCATTTCAACTATATAATTTGCAGAGAAATATGTCGCACTACAACGAATGGTTCTCGGAGATTACACGCCACTTTCCTCTTGTCTTGCTTTCTGCAGGCATCTCTGTCACGGACAAGACATGTTCCGTAAGTATTCAATACAAACATTAAATTCATCAATATGGAAATAATGGCTCTGTCTCTACAGTTGGTCAGACGTTCAGGAAGCACGAAAACAAAACAGTTGCATTACTCCCAGTTTTGAGCACGCAATTCACTTTAGTCGCGCTATCCAACTATTTCTTATTACTCAACAGGTAGGATAGCGATATATGCATGCCACTCGTGGCCTTGATATATCCCTATCCATAACTATAGAGTTGGTATGCTAAAAGAAGTGCGTGATGCTTGCAAATGGTAGATCGTGGAGCTAAGTCGTGCAATCGCTATAGCAAAACCAAAGAGTTGAGTCTGTGTAGCGCGATTCCCGTCAGACAAAGAGATAATTGCGGATACACTGACCTCTAAGGCCTGAAGCAGACCGGACTTTCCAGATACATCATTCAAGTGAATAATAGCGCAGTGCCGAAAGAAACAAACGACATGAACACCTATTTGATCTGCGCTTGGGCAAAAAATGTCAGTTCCAGTAACCATGCAGCATCAAAAAACAGTGCACACCCACACGAAATATAGTTGTTTTGTCGTTTCTATTCATGATGGCTTATCGAAAGCTAATATTTGAGAGTACTTCAGCTGTTGATGACATACCAAGCTTCCGTCATACAAGGCGCTTGTAAAGTTTTTCTTGCTTAGCTTGCGAAATTCCGTGTGAATCCGTAAGCGAGGCTGGTAAGGCATACCACCTAATTCATTCATTTATTCACTGTTTATTCAGACAAAAACAATGATTGCCTAGGTTGAAGGGACTAAAGGCATATTACCTCTGCCTGACTAAGGTCCCTCCACCCATACATTTGCTTAGGTGAAATGGAACAAGGGATACGAATTTCATTCTGCTTTTGAATGAGGGGACACAAAATTCAAATTCAACAAGTATAACAGACGTCGACACATACGTTTTAAAATAACACATTACAGTTATCACGAATTTGCAAAATCCAATTTGCAATTTCCATCACCAATTTGCAATTTCCAAAAGTTACTCTGTTCGTTCATCAGTGAGCCTCTGATATTCGGAATGAAATCAGCCTGTTTTTTTAGTTTTCGTCTAAATGCTCCTGCATTATAACATAAATGAAAATTAGAGGCAAATACTTGATGACAGACGAAGAGCAATAAAACCTATAAGAAGGATGATCGACCATCCATAGTACGTCATCAGTCATGCTCGTTGTTATTTAATAGGTTTTTTATCACAACAAACAGGGTTCAAACTGCCCAATTGTGAGATCTACCAATTGTAAAGTATGCAAATGAATACGTATCTGTTCTACGTGCATCTTTCTTGCTTTGCGCAATAAAGACCAGTAACTACATCCCTAAAAAATGATATCTAGAAGACAAACGACATTTTGCGAATGGTCTGTGGGTAGCATCTACAAATGAGTGCATATGCCTAGTTTCTGCGACATATGAGGATGTTAACAGAGGCGAGCCTTGACTTTGCAAATTCAGCATGCATTCCGAAATGACTTATATTTGTTACTAAGGCGACCTTGTTACTCCTTCTTTCATAACGGCGTTTCGTTCAAATATGCTTCGCGGCCTTTCCTTAGTGAAAACCAGCAAATAATAAAGACACAAGTTGTGTACGGAGCATTGATTGCGATTTTTAGTTATATTACAATAATTTGGATGTAGATGTGAAAAAAGTGCAGTGGACGAACACACAGCAAATCGCAGGCAGGGAACGAACCATGCAAGACCCGCTTTTCTGATAAAACAAACTTTCTGATAAAAGAAACGACCTCTCAACGCTTTCCAGCGTGACGAGCACTCGAAAGTCTACCTGCGTTATTATAAACATCTCTCGTTGGCACAGTTTTCTTTTTTTTTGCCTGATTTCCGTGCATATGCCTTTTGTAATTATTGTTTGAGATGACTATTCTGAGATTTCCATTGTTGCTCGAATTGCATTACCGTGGTAGTTTTGGATTGTCAAGATTTCTGTGAACCAAAAAACGAATGAAAATACTACGGCTTCACTCCGAAACGAAATAACACACTCCTGACCACTATTGCAGACATTTGCAAGGTAGCTCCTTCTTTCACCGGAGACAGCAGAGACCTGCTGAAACTCAATGTCAAATAAACAAAAAAATTATACCTGGCGGAAAAAGCTAGGTGTAAAAAACGACTCCTGTTTCTACACAACAGAAAGCTAATCAAACATTCTCTTATGTTACAGTGTCATACTACAAACGGCTAGGCTTCCCAGTGTGCCAAATATATTACAATGGAGCATCATGCATTTCCAACGGGCGGTGTTCAATTGTCCTAGGAAGCCATATACTATGTAGTGTGGTACTGAAACGTCACCACAAATATTCCAGTAGGTCTCTGTTGCATAGATTCTGGAGTCGTTTTGGATAACTATAATATATTATTTCAATATAACTTACTTTTTGCTGCCATTTTCTCATTCAGTTAAGGCAGGACGCTGTTGCTGCCATCGAGAAGCGGCACCACGTAGAGATGTCTTGAAATCCCGAGGATTTAACATTTCGGTTACGTTTTCATTCCGATCAAAAATGATGTTTTTTTTGTTTTACGTTTTTGGTTCATGTTCTGTTCCGACGCACTGGCCTAAGCAGTCTTGAAAATATTAGTTAAGCGCATCATTTGTCAAATGTAATGTACGAAGTACTCATTAAAATGTGTAGAAAGCAGAGGGAATTGAACAAAAAATTATTCTGCAGAATAAAGGCTTTACATATTTTATGTGATTTGTAGAAAGACTGGATACATACACAAACTTTATGAGGTGGAAACTTTGGGTGCTATACAGATAGTCTATAGTTTCCAATTGTGCATTCCTTAATTATTGCCGTAGAAGTTGATATGAGCCCATGCAATCTTCGCTGGAACCATACACGTGGATCTATCACACCACCTGGGTGTAATAACTGCTGAACTAAATCGCTATACATGTTCTGTAAAAAATGTTATAGAAATATCAAAACCTATGTTTATATAGTTCGTTTTTATCAATTATTATTAAGCGCTGTTCACATATCTCCAATTTTAAAGCACGGTGGCTAATTATCGAAAACCTTGAGTTGTATTTCCTGAATCGTCATCTTTTTTCATAGCAAGTAGTTTTACTTATATGTCCAGAAACATGCTAAAACTTAGCTACCTTTATTTCAGTGCCTCGAAGGTTACACCTGCCGAAAAAAGGACTGCCCGAAATCACCTTACGAATGTAAGAAATACTGCTATGCATTTGTCATCCTAGACAGTGTTCAAACTACATGCCAGCCACAACGCGTGAGAGAGCGAGAAAGAGAGAGAGAGAGAGAGAGAGAAAGACGGGCCGGTCAAACAGGACGAACTTCAGTTGACAAACCTGTACCTAGGCCAAACGTGAACGTATGTATGAGGTTACAAATACGCCTTAGATGTAACATATTTACAGGCAGTGGACATCAGTAGCTTTAATATATTTATAAGCTTACTATGAGTCCAAGAAAACTCGACGAAGCTTTAAAACAGCCACATGATTACTGTTAAAAGATTATGGCGCCTTTATCACAATATATTATTACTGAATGTAACATATTGTAGACAGGGAGTCCAAGCTCATGTGAACCCATCGACTGCCTATCATTTGCATACTGAAATAATGGCACTACAGAAATGTCAGCATCACCTGCCCACACACACATTATTCTTTTTCCATCTCTCACCTAACTAACACATCCGCCCCTGTACATTTGCATCCCCTAACAACCGCAACTTCGTCCATTTCACTTCACTTTTTTCTTTTCAGGTGTCATCCTTGAAAACCACGAAACGAGGTGCGGTGGCGAGAAGGTGCGTATGCCTTCACCTTTTCTCCCGGCAATTCACGCGTGGTTTTGCGCCCTTCCTGTAAAATGAGGCGAATATATTTGTATCGACCCGAGGCTCACTCACTGAATCTGATAACTGAGCGTTCATGTGTAACAGCATTGCGGCGCCATTCAGTGCGTTACCCGATTATGGCACCGTCACAGCGATATTAAGGTGCCGTCAGCGCTTTGGGTTCAATTTGCACTTCCGGAAGCAAAATTTTGGTAATGTTAATTGAAATACCACATTACTTGTGTAACATGCCCTCATTTCTAAATACCTGTTCGAGGGCATGATTGTTATTTAGGTACTACTACAAGTGATGACCTAGGTATGATAAGGTTGCAGGATATCCGTTGCGCAGCAGCTCACGTGACGCAGCGTCTTTGATTTTGCGTGGTCCGTCACGGTGGTGTAGCGGTCAAGGTGCTCGGCTGCTGACCCGAAGGTCGCTGGTTCGATGCCGGCCACAGCAGTCGCATTTCGATGGAGGCGAAATGGCAGAGTGCCGTGTATTGGGGGATGTAAGTGCACGTTAAAGTGCACTGACATCACACGCCGTAGTGCAGGGCTGCGGAACTTTCGACCAGAATGTCGAAATTCCCACAGCCCTCTACTATGGTGTTCTTCATCATCATATTATTACGAGGCAGTGGGCATGGCCCCATTGTCGTAGACTAATCGAAGAGGAAGAAGTGGACTGAGTGCCCGAAAGGCTGGCAGCCCTGGTGGTTTTCACCTACTTGTAAATATTGGTAATACACTCATTTCTTTCTTCCGTGTGCTAGTAATTTCTGTAACAAATTGGTGGACGTGCAAAGCGCCATACAACGGAGCTCCTAGTGGTCGTCAAATTGGAGTTCCCGTGATGAAACACGGGGCTGATCCCACAGCCACCTCCCCATCGGCCTCGGCGACGCCTGCACCATCCACGGCAACGCCTCCACCAGCCCCAACCCCACCCACGTACATGCTGCTGACGCATCCGAAACATCCAGGAACGTTCTGCGGTACGCAAGAAGTTCATGTTGACGACTGGATAGCTGACTACGAACGTACCAGTGCGCTCAACTGGTATGACCCGACTCGCATGGTGGCCAACGTGCTGTTTTACCTGAAAGGCACGGCCAAAGTCTGGTACGAGAACCATGAGGAGGAAATGGGCAGTTGGGACATATTCAAAGAGAAGCTTCTCGACTTATTTGGGAAGTCCGTCGGTCGAAAGGCGGCTGCAAAGAAGGAGTTCTCTATACGTGCTCAGACGTCCACAGAGCCGTATATCTCGTATATACAGGACGTGCTGGCTCTATGTCGTAAAGTCGACAATGGCATGTGCGAGTCTGATAAGGTTGGCCACGTCTTCAAGGGGCCGCAGGTCGCGGGATTGAGTCCCGGCTGCGGCGGGTGCATTTCTGATGGAGGTGGAAATGTTGTAGGCCCGTGTGCTCAGATTTGGGAGCACGTTAAAGAACCACAGGTGGTCAAAATTTCCAGAGTCCTCCACTACGGCGTCTCTCATAATCCTATGGTGGTTTTGGGACGTTAACCCCAAATATCAATCAATCAATCAATCACGTCCTCAAGGGGATAGCGGGCGATGCATTCAACCTGCTCATGTGCCGGAACTGCGCGACCGTCGAGAAAATTATTCAGGAATGCCGGCGTTTTGAACAGGCCAAAAGCAGGCGTATTTCAAGATCATTCCCTCGACTGCCGAACACCACTGCGACGTCCTCCTGCGAAGATGGACTTACCTCTGATCGGCAGGCTTCACCGGCGTCTGAAATTACGCGAATCGTCCGGCAGGGAATCGAAGCAATTACATCTGCTATTCCCACCAACGACCACGTCGATTCGCAAGTACCTCAGGTTTGCTTGGTACAGCCGATTTTGCGGGAAGAACTTAGCAGTTTGGGCTTCGATGTCTGCGTCGTTGCTCACTCTCGACCAATTGGCTTCCATTCAAGGTCGCCGCCTCGCCCCAGGTCACCGCCCGAGGAACGATCTTTTCCACGCTCTCGCAATCCGGCCGAATGCATGGCGTCTGCTCTGACTGGCATGGCATCTGCTTTAACTGCCGCCGCATAGGGCACGTCGCACGGTATTGCCGCAACCTTTGGTCTTCGTCCCGAACACAGTATAACACTGCTCGCCGCACCGACAGCTACCGCCTTTTCCAGCCTCCTGCACCGATCCCCGACGGCTACCGCCGCCTTCCACCCTTCGATGCCCCTGATACGCAGCACAGCCGCTCACCGTCGCCTCGACGTCACCAGTCTCGTTCGCCACCTGGACGTCGCCCGTCGTCCCCTTCTCCTCTACGACAACGCCGGACCTCCCCGCTCAATTCTTATCAGGGAAACTAAGCAGTGCAGCTCTTAAAGGTGAAGCTGCATCCTCGATACCGACCTCAAATCCTCTCCTTGTACTGCCGACACGACGAAATTTGATCGACGTAGACGTAGACGTTGACGGCCTGACTGTTTCTGCACCTATTGACACCGGGGCACATATTTCTGTGATGAGTGCCCGACCTCGTCGCCGCCTGAAGAAAGTTCTCACATCGGCTGCTTGTGGCATTATTCGTGTCGCCGACGGAAGAAGTCTTGCAATCACCGGAATGTGCACAGCACGCATCACAATCGCCGATCACCCCACATCTGTTCTTTTTGGAGTTATTCATCAGTGCCCCAATCACCTGATTCTTGGATTGGATTTGTTGTCCACTCATGCCGCTCTCATCGACTGTGCAACCAGCGTTCGCCGACTTGAACTGCCTCGACTTGGGGCTGTGCCGTCCTCCCCATCACACCGCTTGTGCGCTGTTGATTATGTTCGGCTGTCACCGCAAGCCACCACGTTTGTGGCCTTAACGATATCACCAACTTTTCCTGACGGTGACTGCATACTGTCTCCTCTCCATTAGTGAATGTGCTCATGGCGCGAAGGGCTGCTGTGCCGCGTACCATCGTCACTATCGGGGACAACTACGTTTAGCTTCCGCTTCTCAACTTTAGTAGTTCGACCCAAGTTCTCCCGCAAGACATTTCGTTAGGCCATGTTTCCCCGCTTGATGCATGTGATATCGTGGCATTAGACCCTGAAGACTGCTCGTCCCCTATTGCAGCCAGCCGAGCAAACGCACCTACCAATGAAATCACGATGATGATTGCCCCTGATCTTCTGCCCAGTCAGGCTGCGCAACTCCACCACGTTCTGACCACCTACCGAGATATTTTCGACATTGATGACCACCCTTTTGGTCAAGCATCTGTCGTGCGTCATCAAATACATACCGGCGATGATAGTCCTGTTAATCGGCGACCATATCGTGTTTCCCAGACCGAACGCCAGGTCATACAACGAGAAGTCGAGAAGATAGTCTCCAAAGGATTCACAGAGGCCTCTTCAAGTTCATGGGCATCACCTGTTGTCTTAGTCAAAAAGAAGGATGGCAGTTGGAGATTTTGCGTTGACTACCGGGCTTTGAACAAGATAACCCGCAAATACGTATATCCGCTGCCACGAATTGACGACGCCCTTGACTGCCTTCATAGCGCGCGATACTTCTCATCCATAGATCTGCGTTTGGGCTATTGGCAAATTTCTGTCGACAACTTATACCGCGAAAAAACTGCCTTTGTCACACCGGATGGCCTTTATCAGTTCAAGGTTATGCCTTTTGGGCTGTGCAACGCCCCGGCAACGTTCGAACGCGTGATGGACTCTCTCCTCCGCGGTTATAAATGGTCCATCTGTCTTTGCTACCTCAACGATGTGATTGTTTTTTTCTCAACCATTTAAAGCCACCTAACTCGTTTGTCGACAATTCTAGCCGTTTTTCGTCGAGCTGGACTCCAGCTGAACTCGAAAAATTGCAATTTCGGCTAACGAGAAATCACGGTTCTTGGTCATTGTGTAAGGGCTGCTGGCGTCCAACCGGACCCTGACAAGATTAACGCTGTTAAGAACTTTCCTCTGCCTTCTACTACCAAAGATGTTCGTTGTTTTGTGGGCTTGTGCTCGTACTTCCGACGTTTTCTACACAATTTTGCTACAATTGCACGACCACTCACTGATCTTCTCATAAAAAATGCGCCCTTCTCGTGGGGCCAAGACCAAGCAGCTGCGTTTTCCCCGCTGATCCAGCTGCTCACTTCACCACCAATATTGGCTCACTTCGACCCATCCGCGATGACTGAAGTTCGCACAGATGCCAGTGCTCACGGCATCGGCGCCGTCCTCGCTCAACACCATGGGTGACAAAGGCGTGTTATTGCGTATGCCAGCCGCCTTCTCTCTACACCTGAGAAAAACTATTCGATAACGAAGTGCGAGTGTCTTGCCTTGGTCTGGGCTGTAGCAAAATTGCGCCCCTACTTGTATGGCCGGGAGTTTTAAGTTATTACAGACCACCACGCTCTGTGTTGGTTGACGTCGCTTAAGGACCCAACTAGTCGCCTAGATCACTGGGCTCTACGTCTCCAGGAATATAAGTTCGATGTAATTTATAAGTCTGCCAGGTTACACCAAGATGCCGATTGTCTCTCGTTATCCGGTGGATCCTGCTAGCCTCGCTGTCCATGAGAGCGATTCTTCTTGTGTGCTCACCATATCCGATTTGTGCGACATCGGAACAGAGCAACGCTGGGACGCAATCCTCAAGACGGTCATTGAGCGAGTACCTTCAGGACATTCCAACCCTTCGCTCCGTCAATATTGCCACTAGCACGTAGTGGGTTGACAGCAAGAGCGGCTCTCAATCTGGAGGAAAAAAGAAGATCGCATGCTTTCTTCTCTGCTCGAGAGCCAGCCACGACTGACGCATCGTCCTAGAGCTAGCTACCCGGTCGTTCAATAAATCCCCCAGTACTTGTGACTCATCGTGACAAACTCGTGGAAGGTGCTGGGTAGTCTCACGGATGCTGCAGACGCCCCCCCCCCCCCCCCCAAGGAAGCCGTAATACGATTCCAGTGTCAGT